CGTTCAGACATGCCCAACACGGCACGGGCCATGTGGCGGCGCTCTGCGTATGTGTGCGGGCCCCTGAACGTGCCTTGGTCGAAGACCGGCACCTGCGTGTGCCACCACACCAGCTCCTCTGCAGTGAGCAGGTCAAGTGCATCGAGCAGCAACAGGCCGCGATGGACCTCGTAGTGGTGGAAGAAGCGCTCTGAGAGGGACATGGTCATGGTGTCGCGCTGCGTGAGTGCTCGCGCCTGCTGTACACACGCAGCAACTTCTCGCTGCCACCGCGGCCGCCGGGGGTCGTCGGCCATCGCCTGCACCTCAACGAAGCAAGGCGATGCTGTTGCTGTTGTTGCTGCCACTGAAGGGTGGCGGAAGCATGCGGCTGCAGATGCGAGTGCGGCCTGTGGGAGGTCTCTCATGACCCGGGTCGCCTGCTCGTTGGCCTTGTTCGCGTCATCTGGGCGGCTGGACGGCTGTGTGGGGCTGACTGCGGCGACAGCCAGTGGAGTGTACACATCGCTAGCAGAGAGTAACTGCGCCAACCGTGGTTTGGTGTTTGCACGAGACAACCACCAGTCAAGAGAGCACGTGCTGAGACTTGGTTGTTCACCCGTCTCCACAGCAAGCTGCAGACAACCACTGGCGCCCGAATCTTCCTCACCCAATGACTCTTCGCCGTTGGCTGTCGATCCATCTTCCTTCTCCTGTTGCTGTTGCCGATGTTGCTGATCCAAGTGCCGCGTGCAGAGGGCAAACAGCATGCGGTTGTGCGTGTTGTCCTGGTCTGCGTCCCTCACCAGGTGCGTGTACAGCACAACAAGGTCGTGGCACTGGCCAAAGGAGAAGAGGATGCGTAACAGCGCGTCATATGCGCGCACAGCACCGCGTGGGTTGGCCTGCGCCGCGTACAGTAATGACGCAATATGGCTGCGCATTGACGCAAGCGTCACGCTCGGCTCCGAACGGAGCACGTAGGCTGCCAGCGCCCCAAATGCGCGAAACTCCTGTTCCTGCGGATAGTACTGGGCAGCGCGCGCACAGCGGCGTTCTGTTTCGTCGGCGTCCGTCGCCTTGCTGCTGGACCGTGAACACTCCCGCGCAACCGCAATCTGATGGTGTGCGTGCGCGTGCGCGTGCATGTGCGTATGTGTGTATGTGTGCATGTGTGTGCGTGTGTGCATGTGTGTACATGTGTGCATGTGTGTGCATGCATGTGTGTACATGTGTGCATGTGTGTGCATGCATGTGTGTACATGTGTGCATGTGTGTGCATGCATGTGTGTACATGTGTGCATGTGTGTGTGTGCATATGTGTGTGTGCATGTGTGTGTAACAACTGCATCAACAACGCAATCACCTTTGTCGGCGTGAGTGCGTGTGTCATGTCTTCGGGTTCGTCCGCGTGGTGAACGTCTGCTGGTCCATATGTGACGAAGACGCCCGGCTCGAGGTTGAGTGTTTGGTGGTCAAGGTCGTCAGGCACGTAGATGTACTCGCCTGCCATGTGCGTGTATATAGTGTGTGTATGGTTTATGGTGTGTGTATGGTGTGTGTATGTATGGTGTGTGTATGTATGGTGTGTGTGCGGGCGTGTGGGTATGGTGTGTGTATGGTGTGTGCATGGTGTGTGTATGGCGTGTGTGCGGGCGTGTGAGTATTGGGAAAACGCTGTTAATGTGAGTAACATAAGTTGTGGCAAGTCACAACTCATACTACATGCACCCCCCCCCACACACACACGTGTATATTGTTCCTTGCACACCTGCTTCGACGGTGCACTCTGCGAGGAATGCGCGCTCCTCGTCGCTCATGTGCGGGTGGACGGTGGTGAGCCACTGCCATGGCATCATGCGTGGGTTTGTCACGTTGCCGGGCACCCTGTCCTTCTCAAGACTGATGAACCACCTGCCACATTGATGATGAAACGGCGGAGGGTGCAGTGGCCAGCGCAGCAGCATGAGAGGCAGTGTGTGTAAGTGTGTGTGTGAGCGCATGTGTGAGTATGTCCGTCAATGAGTGACACGAATTACTCAGCATACCCACATCCACATGCGTGCGCACAGCCACACACACACACACACACATACACACACACACACACATGAACATGAACATACACACAAAACACACACACACACATGAACATGAACATACACACAAAACACACACATACACACACACATGAACATGAACATACACACAAAACACACACAAAACACACACACACACACAAGAGCACCACCACCTCGTCCAGTGCTTCAACGCCTGACCGTTTGCGCCCGTGCACGATCTTGTTCGCGGCAACACGCGTGTGCCAGTGCCAGGGAAGACCAAACCCAGGCACACCCAGGCCAGCCTCAGCCACCGTCATTTCTGGTCGAGGGGAAAACCAGAGCAACAAGTTATTGCAAGGAAGAAAGGTGGACATGACATGGCAACGAGATCACACAGCATCCTTCCACACACACACACGCACACACGCACACCTTGTTGATAGAGGTTGTTGAGGATGGGGTCGTGGTGGCAGGCGTCTTTCAGCTCCGGCCATTCGCCAAACTCTCGACTGAAGATCTGAAACTGATGTTCAGCTGGTGTGAATGTCGAACATGCGTGCATGCGTGTGTGTATGTGTGCATGTGTGTATGCGGGCGTGTGTGCGCAGTTGTGAAATGAGACTGTAACATGACGCAAGTGTGTCACATAACCGGATAACCCCTCAGCCACACACACACACACACGCACATAGATACACACACACAGATACACACACTTACACACTCACGCACACACACACGCACGCACGCACGCACACCCACCCACGCGCGCACGCACGCACGCACACACGCGCGCAAACACACAAACACACACACACACACACACCATTTGTGGAGTAGTTGATGGGTTGCTGGTCCTGAAAGTCCAGGAAGCGATCAAGGGTCCACGGCTTGCCACGGAACAGGGCCTGACCAGAAACACTGAACAGCATCACGGGCCGCCAGTCGGCCTCCGCCCTGATGTTCTCCTTGCTGGTGAAGCGACGGCATGACTCATCTGTTTTCCAAGGCAAAGCAAACAAGCAGCACGCGCACGGCGCATCAAAGACAGAGGAGAGAAAGGGGTTGATGTGTCGCATGTACAATGTATCGTGGAAGAAGGAGCCATATGTGCGTGCGCACACACACACATACGCACATACACACACACACACACACACACACACACACACACACACACACACACACACACACACACACACACACAACAACACACCACACACACACA